TACCGCTCGGTTACAACAGCTGTAGCAGTTAACGGATCCTGACAGCCGCAGAATCGGCCGGCGAAAGTTTTGTGTTTTCTGCGGCGATAATACCTGAACGATAAATTAGTTTGACGCACGCACGGAGAAACGTGATTCGGCGGAAAAAGTCAATATATATATATATATGTATGTATGTGTTATTTTTTTTCGGTTCGATATTTGTACATTATTTTCAGTGGTATATTTTATTTGTGTGTGTTTTTTTTTTTTATTATTATTTTAATTGCGATAATTTATATTGTTATTACTTCGATATTGAAAACACGAAAAGGCCGCCGGCGATGCGCCTGAAAAAATTGATACGATTTATCTAATTTTTTTTTTTTTTCTATAAAAACTGTGTAGACACACGATGATGACACGTCATATATACAAACGTATTGCACACGCCTACTACTCCATTACTGTCTCTCATATACATATATATATAATATATACTTTGTTCGGGGGTCAACCTTGTTCGTATTTTTCGTGGTTATTTTTTTTCTCTTTCTAAATCTAACTCGCAACGTTACAAACTATCTGTCTTGTCACATTTCACCACCTATACCTATGTGTAATACTTACCAACCTGCTCCCTTTTGTAGCATCTCGTATATTATTCCGTTCGTCTACTTCCCTTTTGAATGCGCTCCCATTTTTTTTTCTCGTTCTGCGTTTTTCACTTCCGCCATTTTCCACATTTCCGTTTTCCGTGTAAATCGCTCTTATCGTTTTGTCTCGGAGACGATGAATTGGCGAAAAAAAGAAAGAAAAAAAAACACGACACACACATTATTATAATTTATAAACGATCAATAAATCGGCAATTCAAATATAGGTACAATATATTTTAGGAGGAATTGGTTTTACCATGTGTGTTTTTTTTCTGTACATAAACGAGTTTTGGACCAGAAATCTGATATACCAAAGCTCATCTTCATTTCTTTTTTGTTTTCAATCCTCAAATTTATTATCAACTTTATCTGTAATTACAAATATACGAATTGGATCCTCGATCTATTAATTCCGTCCTAGGTTTTAATATGTGAATTTTTCCTTTAGCGGTCCCTCCTATATAATTAATTATATATATATATCCATATATTAATTAATATCTATCTATATATTAATTTCAACAATTTCCCATGTCTGGTTATATATCCAATCCATTCAAATCGTCTTAGTTTCAGTTTTTTCCACAACAATATTTTATTTAGTAACTTCTTTGCATCAAGGTATTCCAGGAATAAACGATAATATAAATTCGATTTTCGTATTTTAGTATCTAAAACCATCACGTGTACACCGCACTTTAGGGGATGAATTCGATGATACCAAAACGGCCGAGGGTATCAAATTGTAGATTTATATAAAAATAAAAATAAAAAAATAACAGGTACAAACTTATTTTTGATATTCTATATAGGTATTGTATAACACTAGATTTGTATTAGTTAAGTTGATTTTATTACCTATAAAATATAATAAACATTATACTTACATAATTGATTTTATTATTGATGGTTATACACTGTTAAGTCAAAACCACGGTTACCTTTAACCGTGGTAAATACTTAGAAGTTCGCCATAGTATAGCGTGCAACTGAAATTAATCGACAGACTCGATTATTATATACCTAGGTATATGTCGAGAAATTAATTTTAGTCTTCAGATATTTCTTCCGAGGATCGTTGCATAATAATATTATTATGAACGATTTCCATTATTCGCAGTTTAGTAAAATTTTTATATTTTTTAAGAAATCCATTATCATCATTAAAATTTATAAACGAAATAACTATATTATACGTGTTATAATCTATAGAATTGTACAATGTACTGAAGTCGCCAAAATAGGTATAGACAAATTTAACGAAAGATACAGATACAGATACAGAAATAAAAACGTGACAAATGAAACAAAAATTACCTATCACCTATCTACCTTAATTGAGATAATAACATATTACAATATTTTCAAAATAATATCTATGCTAAAGACTAAACATTTTGTTTCAACAAGTGTATGACCATTTGATGAAAAAAATTACGCAGCTTATCAAATTCAGGTATCAAAGTTTAGTATCCATTTTGTGAAAAGACTACTTAATTGTATTTTTTAATATTTCACTAGGTATGGAAAAATTGTTTTCATTTCAAGAAATGCTCAGTTTCATCAAATGTATGTGACATATGTACCGTGTTATGTATACTTTAAATAGAATAGGATATTTTTACATCTCTAGTTATGGCTAATGTTAAAAATTGAATAATGTCAAATTTTCGTTTACTAAATCAAATTTTGTGTTGTTCATAATATAGTGGATTAGCTTATTATCAAATTTAAAGGAATACAATTTCTGTTTGTACTTTCAACATTTAGTACGTATTTACAGGCATATAACTTTTTGAATAACACATATTTTCGTGTATATTAGATGGAAATTGAATGCATATTTTGATTAATTTTTCTGTGCGATAAATCCCGAGCCACGTTGTAATATTAATTTTACAAAATTATAATATTATAGGTATCTATATCCCATATGGTATTCAGCATTCCAGATATCTCAAAATCAATTTGAAAACTATACGAAATCGATTTCACGAGTTTATCTATGAATTATCATTTGGAACTCTCCGAGAGTCAATTATATAAAATTAAATTATTATAATATTATACTATACAAATCGGTTAAATAATAATAGACACTCGGTAATGATCTTCAATGAAAGAACGCAGATAGCAGGCGTATTATAAATAATAAACAGATTATATTTATTACGTAAATATTTTCAACAATAAAAACCGGAAAACAAAAAAAAAAATGAGTAAAACATTTTTTCGGTAAAATATTAATTAAAAGTCAAAACGTTTTCGCGTATTAACATTTAATTAAAACAATGAATAACTTTATAGGTAATATAATATATAGGTACATTTTAACCTTAATTATATTTATCAACAGCAACAGCTATAAATTATTAGTATTTAATTTTGCGCAGGTACGTCCAGGTACTTTTATGTAAATGGATGATAATATATTTTGAATGCGAACGCTGTAACGCGTAGCGTTAATTTCAATGTGAAAAAAAACAAATTTAATACTGCAGTAGTAAAAATGTAAACGCAATATTATAATACTGTATGATGAAGTGCAAAGCCGCGAGTGTTATTAGATAATACGGATTAATTGTACGATCGAAATTAAGCTTAGTCCACGTGATTATAACATTAATATCGTGACAGTCAGAATTGCGAGTACCTATCACGATAGTAGTAAAACAATAATAGAGACGTCCTTATTCTCTTCATGTCGTCAGTAATCCGTATTTGATTAGTTGATTTAAGCTTTTATTCCTCATATTCTTCTCTGTAATAGCTTAATCCCTTATATTATAGATCCTTGTATTTTTTTTATCCTATTTACGTTATTCATAGTTTGAGTCACATTATAATAATATACTCTTCCTCTTTCGTCGCATCCGTTAACACGTTGTTCGATTATTGTTTTAAATAGATTTTCAAATCTTAGTGTATGTTCTATCATATTCAACGACGCAGGTACATAATATGATATATATTATGTATGGGAGGGCGATTGGTTTAATTATTATTTGTAATAGGAATGAATTGGGATAATATAATATTTAACACATAATTAAATACAATTCCTGTAGTGTTTTTTTTTAAATGAAGGTGTTGGTCATAAAATAATTTTATATTATCAGTTGGTATCAGTAGCGTCCTAATAAGTGGTCATGGCGAGGAATGAGCCACGGGCCCGTGCCATTAGGGGCCCGAAATCAGGGCCAAGATGTTATTTTTAGTGGACAGATATGTGAAAAACGGGTATAAATTAAGCCCCAACTAGGACTGTGCACTTGACTCCTTGATTCGGTTAATCTAGAATATTTTGCCATGAGCATAACAGTTCCTAGATATGCCACTGGTAATTAATACTAGTAATTTGTAATTGATTTGGCTGAATTAAAAAAATTGAAAAGATTGAAACATTTCCATATGGTTACCATTTTTCGTTCATTCTGTATTTAAAACCACTATATTACTTGTACATTTTTCAGGCCAAAGTGTATTTCTATTTTGTTTGAAGTACCACTTCTTGAAAGTCCGGTTCAGTTTCCTTTTTTCAAATGAGCTATAATTGTCTATCGGTTTCACTAATATTTTCAATATTTAAAACAGTGGTTCCCTACCGGGAGGGGGGGGATTTAATTACTGCTCGGGGGAAATATAGTAATGATGAAATAACGAGATTTTCGTTGTTAAAGATGTTATGCCATTTTACAATCAATAAAATTGAAAAAATTTAATTAATTATCGGACGATCGCCTTATCGATGACAATTTTACTAGTATTTTATAATGATTGACCTCTTTGCAGGTAATCTAATATCGCTAGGTACTACGTTTAATTCGCACGATTGTACGGCTATCTGTCGGCCCCCGATTATGGTTAATCATTAATCCATTATCGAATAATGCAATCCAAATATAAACCAAATTATGCGTTGAAATGTTGCTGTCTAGACGTGACATAACGTTTACACGTCAATTGGGCCACACTTTTATTACCGTCGAAACGTACGTACGTAAAATATGTTCGAAAAGAAGAAAGTACGACAAAAATTATGTTCAATATGGATTTACACCCAAAAATATATTTATATTATATTTTATAATTTATATTTTCGTACTTGAACAAAGGATTCGTCAAACGTCGATGTTTTTTCCATTTATCAACTGTAATAATATTAATGAGACATTTAATCAATGCGAAGATATAAGTAGCGGATCTTATTAGTATATTAACTATCCGAACTTTTGAATTTAAATTAAATATAAAAAACCAATATAATTAGATCGGTTTAAACAGGTTAGATTCAATTAAAGAGTACTTATATGAATTTATACATACATTAATATATAAGTAAACCATAGGTGAACGTTAAGATTAAGTGTGTAAGATTAATTTAGGAAACAATATACACTTAGCTGGAGCCGTAACCAAGCCCTTTTCTAGAAATTTAATAGCCATATTAAACATGACGCCTTTGCCTAAGGCCAGCGAACTATTTAAATTAATCTGAAAAAAATTGATTTTGAAATTAAATTTAGAATTTAATTTTTAAAATTGCATTTAATGTTTAAGAGAAATGTTGAAATTTAAATCGATAATTTTATGATTTTTATGAATAACAAATATTAACTTCAAGATCTTCTGGCTTAGGAATGACAACCATTAAATGGCTACCAAACCATAATTTAAATGAACCGTAGTTGTATGATTGTCCATAATTCAATGCTTTTTCGTAGTAATCTAGCAATTATAAAATTCATATTGTACAGTAATTAGACATACCTACATACAATACAAAGATACAATGATTTGTTTCTCTTACCACCAAAGCTTTTCAAACATGACCCTATAATCGGATAATCCGGCAGACCTCTCAATTTATTAGCTAATGTTTCATAGCGCCGACGATTCCATGTGTGATAACAAAACAATATCGAAACAAATATATACTTGTTTCAAATAAACTAGACTAGTCGTTCTTTCGATAGTAATTGCTTCATCACAGTCACCTAATGTGCTATAAAATTCGTTGTAAACTCTGTCCTTAGAACAATTTATATGAAATGTATTTTAATATCAAACTTTTAAACAGCAAAAACTACGTAATGACTTACTTGAATATCCGGATAGATAGCTATTAATAAGTGACAATAACTAACAGTCAATGAAATAGTTTAGAAACCCTATAAATAAAAAAATTAATTATTGCTTGTGGATGCAAAGTATTTGGAGTATTTGAACTTACAGCCGCTACTATAGTTATCACATGACTCTTAATATCCTCGTCGCTCAAGCCCAATCTGGCTTCGTTTGAGTCCATTAAAGTTTCTAATAATCCTCTATAACATTTCTCTAAATAATTTAAATAAAAAATAAACTGGTAGTTATAATAACTTGTACAATAACAGAATTTTAATTTATCAGTTTTGTTGACTTAACTCAAATAACACGATAACCACCTACAGTTTGGTTAATAAAACTATCCGGTCGTATTTTATTTAAACAATAACTTACTTTTGCCATCGTTTACATCTGTGTCTGTCTTGATTTTATTTTTAAATTTATTACTAATTCGTTTTTCTTTTTCTCGGTAATCTGAAAATTAAAATGTTATTGTTATTATCAATTGCCACTGTCAAACCGTTTTACTCATCTATCTTATTAACCGTATAATTTAACTATTCATTGCTATAACTATATTCATTATTTATAATAAAAACGTCAACAATTATCTTTTTACTCATGCCCTATGATGATAATCTACATATGTGGATAGATTAAAAATCGGAGAAAGATTTCTAGTACAAATAGTGTTCTCAGTTAAAAAAACAAAAAAGGTCAACAAATAGATAAATAAACATCTTTATACGACCAATATATTTCGAGCGTAGAGAATCAATAATTAAATTATTTGGATTGTTTCTTAACTTACGTATTTTTTGATTAAAACTCTGTAAAAAATGAATCATATAATCATCGATCGAGTCATTTATCAAAAGTGTGCGGGCTAGGTGTTGAGTAAAAATTGCGAGACACGAGACTTCATGAACCCCTATACCCGGCTAACGGCAGTGTGTTTATATATAGAGTGCTTAGCTGGAAGTTGTCGAATTATACAGTCGTTATTGGTATGGTTGAAATATTCTTTAAATGTAAAAAAATTGCTTATTGTAATTTTTTTTTTAATGTGTACGTGAACAGAATATTCGTAAATCGCAGTAGAAATAGTGGCAGCCGGATGACGAAAAACCTTGTGTGAATATTATTAAATATTATTATTAATATTAACATAATATTATGTAAAACTGTGTCTAATTAAGATTTAATTAGATTTATGTATAAGTACAAAATATGATTTATTAACAACGGACTTCATTTGGACCGCTCAAGGTATACATGTACATTATATTTTTATTTTGAATTAAAAACAAAAACAAAAATATTATGGTCTTTTTTTTTCTGTAGACAACTTACCGGTAGAAAATATCTCCGTGTTTTTATAAATAAATGAAATCGTGAAATTGTACGATTTCCTACTTTATTTTTCCCACTTAAGTGTTTTTATTTAAAACAATGTGTAGATTCTGAATTAGTAGTTTTGATTTCTCTTGAAAAATCGGGATAAACATTTCTTTTATACTTTCGTATTTTAACAAAGAATTTATTAAACGTCTATGTATTTTCCATTTATCTAATGTATTTATCTTTCTATAACAATTTTAATAAGACGTTTGAGCAAAGCGAAGATTTAAATGGTGGAACTTATTAGTAGAGTATCTATCCTAACTTTTAACTTTAACCTAATTTTTTTCAAGTTAAAAGTTTGATATCTTAGGTTATGCATCAGATATTGCTCTCAATAAAGTGTGTCGTAAGTATTACGTTATACGTATACATTGTATCAAAATTTTATTTTTTCAATAGATATAATATTAATTATTTATTGCCTTTATAGAAACAACAATGGATTACAGTCTTGACTCTCAGGCAGATATGGGTTTCAAAAAGAGCGTCACAAAGTAAAACAATTACATATTAACGAACTAAAAA